GCATAGTCTGCATCATCGCGAGCCGGGCCGCAACTATTCTAGTGTAGATGAATTTTATTCATATACATATATAGTCACATGTGATCGTATACATGTAGTCATATATAGTCACATGTAGTAACAAGAATGAACATAACTACATGTGACTATAGTTGACTACATATAGTCATATCTAGTCATATGCAGTAACAATAATGCACATAACTACTTGCGACTATAGTTCACCAAAGTAAATTTATCAAAAAAAATGTCTTTCATTGATTTTTTTTTTGTATTTTTTCATGTAATGTAATTCCCATGTTCCATTTTGTTCTTCATTTTCTTTAACTTGTATTTTTTTGTCACAGGTTTTGCTTAGTAAAACATTACGAGATGCAAAGAATAAGATGCAGAGAAGTGCTATGTGAAGTTGCATTCATGCTACTTATGTCACTTATATAACTATCGATAATTGTATATAACTATAGTCACGTGTAGTAACATATAGTTATATGTATGCTATGTGTTTTTTAATGTATAGTAATGTGTGTTCATGTTTGAAGATTATATGCATGTGATTGTGTTTTTCATTTCTTTTTGGGGTAGTTGATTCATAATATCAAGATTAAAATTGTGAATTTTGTTGTTGGTGTAGATTAATTTTGGGGTAAAAAGGGGTAAAAAGAAAGTACATGAATACATATACATATACATATACATGACTGTGGTATACTATAGTTACGTGTAGTATACTAAAGTCATGTGTAGTCAATTTCAATACAGTAAATTTATCAAAAAAAAATTAAAAAAAATATATATAAAATAAAAAAATTAAAAAATACAAATGAGGGTATATATAAAAAATAATAATAAAATAAACATTTATATTTTTTATTAAATTAATATATAAAAATGATAAATGCAGGCCCAAGAATGCTAAATGCAGTTGGGCATTATGCTGAATGCAGGGGCAAAAATACTGAATGCAGTTGGCCGAAAATTTCAATTAAGGGCACAATAGTACTTTTGCCTCTCCAAGGGGTATCTCAAAGGAAAAAATTTAGGGTGGACCTATCCCTATATATTTTTCAACACTTATTTCAATCCAAAAAACTATTACACAAAATGATCGCTTTATTCATTATCATTTTTAAAAATATAGATACATAATATTACGTTGCCTGAGAGATTCGAACTCTCGCGGGGAAACCCCATGTACTTAGCAGGCACACGCCTTAACCACTCGGCCAAAGCGACTATGATCTTAGAGTTTACGAATCATATTATATTTCTCTCCTGGTATTTTGAAGTCAATCTCCTCTCAAAAGTTATCATTAATTAGTTCGTTAAATTAATTTGAGTTTGTTTCTCAAAAGAACAGTCAGAACTAACAAAGAAAAAGAATCTGTACGTCCACGTCCTATCGTAATTAAATGTGTATGTCTAATGTCTATCTATCAGATAATCTAATTAAACAAAATTAATTACAGTTATTTGAATTAGATTAATGGGTATTGGATTAATAATGTTGGCCCAATGTGTAGAGACATTTAGAGTTCAGTTAGGATTCATTCCCTTCTCCCGGTAATCCATATATCGTCTGAGATAGAAGACAAGGAACGTGTTTTCTTTGGAAAATCAACCCTCTTTGAACTTCCGAATATTCGAATGGTTCTATGGATTCATGTACTGTGCATGATGGTCTTGGGATTTATTCGAGCATATTCAGATTATTTCTAACATGAAGTACCACATGCATGGGTGGATATCTATATGAATCCTAATCTGTTGAATCATTCGTTCGACATCGGATTCCAGCGATTGATTATGTTTCGGACAACCAACATAAAGTTCTCACACTTTCGTGCTCTACGCTTTCTTAGGTTCGAACATCATATCCGAAAGTAGACTCAGAGCCAGAACTCGTGCACGCATGACAATTCACCTACAACAAAAATAAGAATTTTATTTTTTCGTCAACTCAAAACAACAATAAATTAGAATGTATCATCTCTCTCTTCATCATCAAGAGCTGAAGTGTCCACCTCTTTTGGATCATCGTGAAAGCTAATCTCCATGGATGAAATATTCGTATGTATATCAACTTTTTCTCTATTAGTTACAACATAAATTTGAGCAAACTCGGTGCTGATAATGTATTAAAATAAGTAAAGAAACAAAAAGTAAAAAGAATTTATGGAACAATATAGAGAGAAGCAAGTATATATTTCACTTAATAATAGTATAATTTGACGAAAATGTTGGTGGTATTCATTATGTCTAGTTACAAAAAAGCTAAAGCTTGCTTCTTAATTATTTAGATCATGTTTCTACTAAGTCCACACCACTCACTTCCATCATTACCATCTATTATTACTACGCATATATTGGCCAATCTTATATTCCAATTCACCACCATCTTTCTTAAATTACACGAAATTTCCCAACCCATTATTAGAGTCATTATATGATTTTTTTTTTTGAATTAGTATAATAGCTAGTTCAAATGAAATACTTTTCAATCGCAATTTCTTTATTATTTATAATATAAGTCCTCGTTTAGTTGTTAACGACTACTCGATCAGTCCATCTATTTTATAATAACTGTCTATTTTTAAAATATTTTTGTTTAATATTATTCGTTACTTTACATTTTCAAATACTGAATTAAATGCATTTTTTTTCTTCATGTTTTAACCTTGTTAATTCAACTCTAAGTATTAATTCTCTCTTATCACATTATTACATGATCAAATTTATTTTAATCTTTTAATGTGTTTTTTTCTAAAATCAAGACACATTTACTGAGAATTTTAATACTTATGCAAAGTCTAAAAACGACAATTAATTAGAAATAAATGGAGTAATAATTAAGATGTAGAGTTGTTATTAGTATTAAACCAAAAGCGTGCTTACTTTGTTATGATTCCATTGATCATCAAAAGGAGCAAAAATCGGTGTAAAGAGAAAAGGCAATAAACTAAGTTGATTCAATTGATGTCTCTCCCGTATTTCTCGGATTAGCTCTCATTGTTTTTCTCCTTTATTGATTCTTTTTATTTATTTTATTTTATTTTATTTTATTTATTTATTTTTTGAGAAGCGACTAAACCAAAACAAGAAAAAATGATTGTAATAAGTATATCTTCTATCTATATTAATTTTCAAATTTCTTTCTTTTTGTTTTTCATTAGTTTAGATTTATTGTGGAAATAAATAATTGGTGAAAAATGATAAACTCACAAATTTAGATGCTATAAATTAAAATATGAAACTAAAAAAAAATGATATCTACTATGAACAATGAAAAACTAGAATGATAATTAATTAGTGTTAATTAATTAGTTAATCATGTCCAAGTCATCCGATGATGTTCGAAAACAAGTCTGAAACTTAATGCCGCGTGTCTGAGGTAATAATACGTTCAAAAAAAAATCCACACGCCAAATAAGAATTCACGCGTCAACCTACAAAATAATGCAGACATTAAGTGATTCGGCGCGAGTTGCTCGACGATTACCCTTTGACGCTCAAATAAGCAACCGAAAATTCAAGTAGAATAGAACGCTCGTAGAAATCAAAAATAACAAACTTACCTCAAAATAGTGAAAAATTACTTAAAATAAGTCTTATAAATTAAGTCTTCCATAAAATCCAATCATATAGTATCTAACAATTATGTCACCCACAATGCATTATTTGAAGCAATCCCAAAGTATTATTATATATACCTCTCTTTATTTTGTGGGTTTAAAAACCCCATGTGACCATTTGCCATTTTTTTTCTCACACAGCACACACACAGTAGCGGTGGCAATGGCGAAATCTTCCGAAGAGGAAGAAGTAGAATCGTTATTCCGATCTTACCCCTACGCCGCACTATACTTGGTCCAAAGCCCACCCTCGACCGTTAATTCCCATGCAACCGCCTCGTCCAATTACAATCACCTTCACCACTTAAACTCATGTAATAACAACTCTCCTATATCTCATTACTCGTCTTCTCGTGGATCGAACAACTCGTTTTTGCAAGACGGTGATAAGAAGAAACTACATTCACACGAGGCGCTTCGAAATGGTAATATTAATATAATAATAATAATAATATTAATGAGGCAGTAATACTTGATGATCGAGATTATTATTACGGTGATGAAGAGGAAAAACGAGATCTCCTAGTTCCCTTGTGTAAAGGGTTAGGGTTTCACACATGTAATATATATATCACAATAAACGTGAGAGATAAGTTTGATCATTGCTTTGTTTGTTTTCTATATTGCTGCTAAGCCTCCCCCTCCTAACATCTTTATTAAGGTTCGTACATATATACTTGTGTTTATTTTTATCTCTATCTATATCATTATGGGGAAATTTACAGTTTTCACCCCTCAAATTTGTAATGATTTCACATTTGATCCTCTATGTTTTCACAAAAAACACATTTGGTCCCTCATGCATGTTTCAATAATTTGACACTTTTGGTCATTTCCGTCAATTCACCGTTAGTCCGTCAGTTACAATAGTGATAGGCACACGTTTAATTCCGTTAGTTTTAACGGAAAATTGACGGAAATAACTAAAATGTTGGTTTTTTTAAACATTAAGAACCAAATGTGTTTTTTTGTGAACACGGAGGATCAAATGTGAAATCGGTGCAAACTTGAGGGATGAAAATTGTATTTTTTTCCTATATTTTTTTTTAATTGACGCACAGATTTTGGTCACTCTTTAAATTAATTTGCACAACTAAATAGCATGCATCAGGTTCAAGCGTAAAATCTATCGAAAAATATGAATATTCCTCTCAAAATTTCAAAAATTTCTTCAGTCCGACTTTATGATCCTCTCCAAATTCAAAAAAACTCGTGATATGAACGATTAATGATGGGGAAAATTACACTTTTCGACCCTCGAGTTTTCCTAGATTTCACATTTAGTCCCTCGTGTTTCAATAATTTAACACTTTCCGTTCTTCTCGTTAATATTTCGTTAGTACTAATGGAATCAAGCATGTGTCCGTCACTCTCATAACTGACGAACTAACGGTAAATTGACGGAAATGATCATAAGTGTCAAATTGTAGAAACATGAGGGACCAAATGTGTTTTTTGTGAACATAAAAGACCAAATGTAAAACTGGTACAAACTTGAGGAATGGAAACTATAATTTTCCCATTAATGATGTGCTATTATGATAAAATGTTATTGTTGAAAAGTTGCAGGAAATAAATTCGATAGAAAAATGACGGGGTGATCGTGTTATATTTTGGAGAAAAAAAAATAATTATTAAAGACAAGCGAATTAGTATACTAAAAAACGTTCGATTTTATCAAGTCTCTAGTCATAATTTCAATCGACTCAAATTGAATTTTAAATAAAAATATAAAGATCGTCTAGCAGTTGGACCAAGTGAGCATGTGTCAATTGACCTAAATATGATTTGCAAACTATTATACGAAATTGTAGATTTACCAAGTACACATATATGGTTGGCTATTGGTTGCTACGTTAAAAAAAAATAATAAAAAAAATGGTGGTCATCATTAATTAATTAATAAATGTGCAGATTGGAGGAATTGGAGGGTTCAGATTAGCCGAGGGAGTGGACGGCTCTGGTGCATCGACGAAAATATTAAGCTGCAATTGTTCAATTGATTTAATAATAGAAAATAAGTCCAAGCTATTTGGTCTTCACATCAATCCTCCATTCATTCAATTGCTTTTTGGCCATCTCCCTTTTGCAGTGTCATAGGTCAGCAATTTGTTATATTGTGTTTCCCATTTTTATTTTTCCATTGTCAAATTCAAATTTCATTACACATAGGAAACAAAAATTCATTGTGTTTTACTATCCTTATTTAGTTTAATTACAAAACAAATCCCTATTTTCAAGAAATTACATTTAACCCTCATGAGATTCTTTAAAAAAAATAAAATTTACCCCTCGGGAGGCAAATTGTAAAGTTTAAAATTTAAAGGGGGATTTAAAATAATTTTTTTAAGAGTTATTTAATATGGTCGTTTCGAACTCTTTAAATTTGTCATTTAAAATTTTATGGTTTTAAAAAAATTAAAAATAAAATATTGGGTTCGTAAAATCAAATATTAGTGGTAATTTAATTTGTTCTCCTTTTTATTTGAAGTAATTTAGCTTTTTCATAATTTCTGTTAGTATTTCTAACGGACTGTTAGCTTGAGGGTAATTGATTTTATTTTAAGTAAAGCATGCAATTCACCAGAAAAAGAATACGAGGCAAAAATAAAAAATTCCTGGCATAATTGTATATATATATATATATATATATATATATATATATGTAAATAAACTTAAATTAACACATGGTTAATTATTAGTAGTAGTATATATATATTTTACAATTTTTTTCACAAAATTACATGCTTTTAATATGTTGATATAAAAAAAATATATGCTATTTAATTTATTTTTGTTTTGGCCATTAAAGATGGAGGGTGGAGAAGTATATGGAGAGAGTGATGAGACAACAATATTCAATTTCAAAATTGGGACAAGAAATAAGGCAATGTATGGTGCAGGAAGAAACATGCAAGACTTACTAGAATCTGGTCAAGGATTGCCTTTGCTTGTTAAAGTTAAATTAAGATCAAGTTTTCATGTAATTTGGGGAATATTCCAACCTAAATTTCATCATCAACTCCAATGTTTGGTTGTCTTGGCTGATAAATATGACAAGATACATAGGACCCAAGTTTATAATAGCACTTGTATAAGTAATTTATTATAATTAATTCCTAGTAGTATTAAATATTGTCATCTATACAATTGTTCTTATTATTACATTATTATGTATAGGATTGTTTAATTAAGTATTGTATTTCAAAGAATAAAAAAAAAAGGGAAGGATTTGAGAGTTCTTAAGGGAAACTATGTATTTGTAGAAAATATAAAAGACGTTTTTTTTTTGGATGCATTTCATGAGATCTTTTGGTTTATTTATTTTATTTTTTTATAATCACATAATTGAAGATTTAGAACTATTGTTTGTAATTAATTTGATATGGGCATGGATCATTAAGCTTTAATTATGTGGTGTTTGCAAAGACTTATTTAAAAGTAAAATTTTGTATTTGTGAGTTAAGTTGGTATTAAATGTTTATTTTTAAAAGTTGGGGTGTTTGTTATGCTGAAAAATTAACTTAAAAAAAAAAAAAAAAAAAAAAAACAGGTATAGGAACGTTTTTCAAATTAAAGTTTAAAACAACTTATTTTTTAGCGAAATAGAAGCGAAATTTGATATAATAACAAACACTTCAAAAGTAATTCAAGCTAAGAATCACTTTCTAAAAGCTTTTGCGAATACAACCTTAATAAGGTTGGACTCCATAAGCTAAAAAGCTTATGGAGTTGGATTTCCACTCATTTGTTGAATTTGTTTGAACTTTTAATCCATAATTATGGGTACGTGATCATAATTCATAATTATTGGTTAGACCATCAATATTTCCTAGTAGATTACTTCAACCATAATTTTTTTTATTTATCTTACTTAAACCATGAAACTTTTTGCTCATTAATTTCTACAATTTTTCTATACATATCTTAGTAATCATTAGTTAATTGAAGCAACATACGCTATTACGGTCGTATAATGTATATTCATGTAAATTGTTTGATTACCATTTTCATTTGCTTAATTTGTTGTATTTATGCATTTAATTAGTATTCATCTTAATTATTGTATCATCCGAGTTCATCAACAAAATGATGTACGGTAGATTACCACGTACCGATCATACCGTACCGAAACTAACGGTATACCGAATAACGGTATACCGCAATTGTTGGTACGGTAACGGTATATAATTTTTCAATACCGAAAGATACGGTAGGTACACGATATTGAACAAAATGTTCGGTAACCGTACCGAAACCACCCCTACTTTTCACAATAGAATTGAACACCATTACAATCAACTTTCTTAAAACATTTTGAGCATGATGGATACCACCATTTACTCTCACAGTCTATTTCTACTACTTTAGCAAGCAACGCAACAGAGCGTTCCTGAAAAATTATTTTACATTAGTCTTATATGATTTATGAAATAAGCCTACAAAAGGTTATATACTTGTGTAATCCATTAAATCACTGATTGTCATATGTTCTGTCTGAAGTAAATCATCAGAAATTCCAATGAACCGCTGAGTTGATAGTTGACTAATTGATTGAGAAAATGTTCCAGCTTGCATCATCAATCTATATTCATGTACAAATACATAACAACAAATTATGAGATAAAATAAAATTTAAAATAATATTTGTTATGTTGAACAAACTCACTTTTCTCTGTACTCTCTATGTTCCTCTAAATTTTCATTTATTAGTAACTTACTGCTGTGGAAAACATTGGAAATACTATTTCTGCCTACAATGCAAATAAATAAAGTAGATCATTAACAATAACTTAAACTTAATCCAATCAACATGTAAGTACTTACCATTGAAACTTTTTACCATGCATAATTGCAAAATAATAATGATAGGGCTATCCGATATGTCATTGATCAAATGTGTGGACAGTTCCTCAGCATATTTGTCCGATAGAGCACATCTAAGTTTGTTGCGACTGAAAATAACAATTGAACATTTAAGAAATAAAAATAAATATAAACAATAATAAATTAAACAACGGATACTTACGATAAGTCTTGAAGGCCGACTTCCAACAGCTTGTGGCTCCGCCCATTTTTGTTTAGTTATCTCAAAGCATCCCTTTCAATAATATGTCCAATAACATCTAAAAGGAAATAATTGTTATACACAAAAATTGAAATCTTTGGTATAAATTAATGGAACACATAATCTAACAAAATGAAATTACCTATAAGCCATGTATCATCCCATTCATTAATGATATCATGGAAATCCGTAAAATTAAAAGTGACAACAAAAATATTTTCAGCAAGGAAATCAGTTACTCGAGTAGTGCTAATAAACACAATCTTGTGAGTATGGCGAGTTGATCTGAATTTTGGATCGCTTGGAGCCGCCATAAAATTTTGAAATATGTAGGTATTACCTTCATTCACAATAAGTTCAAACTTGTTCAAGGGATTACATTTTATAGAAG